CATATTTCATATTTAAAAGCAAAATTAGAAAAGAAAAGGATCTAAGCAGGAGAAGGAGATTACCTAAAGCAGGGACAGACTTATCATTGAAATACTTCTCTGGAAACAAGCCTCTAATGTAACTGATATTGAATATAGCAATACGAAGCAGGTTCCTTGTCTATACCACAACAAATAAAGAAACGAAAACGTCAGATAACATTAGATCAACTTTTCATTAACAAAAACAATTAGCATATAGTACATAAGTGATTTCGAGGCAAATGATCATCAATTACTCAACGCGTCATCAAATAATTGTGAAATCTCATGATGATTTACTGTGTTAAGCCAAAATCGAGCTCAGAGTTTCATCTATGACTCATTTTTGTGAAACATGAAGGTTTTTCTAACATAATCTACTTGATCAGACAGAAAAATAAATCGGCAAGGAGATTTTTCAAATTTTATGCAAACAGCATCTTCAAATAAGAACAAAAAAGCTTCACGAAACTTTCTTTAGACGGGCTAATCACACTAAATACTCATGAATTTAGAAGAATAAACAACAAACAAGTACACTCTACTGAAAATTTGATAAGAAAACAACAGCTCAAAAAGTGAAACTCGCATTGTGAAATCGTTGATATATGTGTACCAGAAGAAGAGAATCTTGCTCGGTGATCTCCGCTTCTTTCACTTTCTGTGCAACAACCTGATCGAACACGAAACGGAAATATTAACCATTCTCGCATTTAAGAACAAAATGAACGATAAAGTGAATTAGAGAAACAAGAACTCTCGATAATGAAAGAATTGAAACAGGGTTTTAAGATTTTTTTTCTTCATTGATCACCATTGTTGTTGAGTTTCTGGAGAAAACTGAGAGAGAGCTAGAGAGGGGGCTTAAGGCGGTTGGTTTTTGAAATTTGAAACCAAGTGAATTAAATGGGAGATGGTGGCGCCAGGGAGAGATTTTATTCTAAGTGTACCCCTTACCGTTTTAAAAAAACAACGGTATGAAATTCAACCGTGGTTGGGGGTAGTGACAACCTGTGGTCAACTCGGTGGCATCAGGCATGCGAACTACGTGAAAGGAGGGACATTTTTTGTTAATTTGTTGAAAATGTAGGGGTAATCTGGTGAGAAGGTATGCCACGTGGCTTTTTAAGACTGGCTATGCATGAAGAGTTGTAACAAGAAATGAAACGGAAAAGCTAAAGTGGACCCCATTTGTAACCGCGAGCGCGTCTGGCGTTTTACGCAGGGGCCTATAGTTACGTACAATTTTACAAGGATTGCAAATATCAGTGCCATGAATCTAACCACCGTTTTATAAATTTTTGAATTTTTCTTATTCATTAATAAATTTAAATATATTTATAATTAAAAAATATTTTAAAAAATAATATCCAACCCAAACTAAATCTACCAAGCTTCAACAAACTATCATGTGTATAAAATTGACTCGTTATCGAATAAGTAAAGTCCCATGTAAAATTTAATTAGTGCTCGCTCATCTAACAATCCACGAAATTTGTTTAACTTGATTACTTAATAAAATTTAATAAATTTAAATGTACCCAGATAAGTCTGTTGCATTTCTTAATCACCATGCAATTGGTATTTTTATCAGGATATTTATTAGACTGTGTTGCACGAGTATCTGTCTTATATATGATCATTGTCATTGCTACTAATGATGGACAATACATGTACTTTAATGAATTAATATACAATCAAATCTTGACATCATCCATCTAGTTGAAAAGCATTGCTAAAGCGTGGCCTGGAGGAACTAATTGGGATTTTTTTGGAGTATGCTTTTAAATTAAACGTGTGTTCAGTGATGCGTTATAAGATATTTTTATAAAATATTTTTTAATTGAAAATATATTAAAATAAATTTATTATATATATATATATGTTGATATTATAAATAAAAAATAAAATAAAAATCATATATAAGTCACGTGGATGTTCAAAACCCAACAAATTGGGCATAGGCACAAATATCTCCATTGCCTCGCTTCTTCTTGAACTTCATTCCCATAAAATGTTTCGCTGTAAATTAATTAAACTCTGGCCCTCCGTGGGTTTAGGTAGTGTAGTGTGTAGAATAAGATGTTTTTTAAAGTGTTTTTATTTGAAAATAAATTAAATATTTTTTTAATATTAGTTATTGAAATAATTAAAAATACTAAAAAAATTTAATTAAAAATTTTTAAAAAAATAAAAATTTTGAAAAAACAGTCCATTGGATCTCCCAAAAGATACCTTAAAATTCAAAGGTTACCAAAATTCAATCATAACAATTGAAGATCAAAACTAAATCATTGAATTTAAATTAAATGGATATGATTTTGAGCGTGGTAAAATGCAACAATCTAATTCATTTTTGTTTTATCTATTTTACCTAATAAAAATTATTAATTTTAAAATAAAGTGAACATGAAATTCAAAAATATGGGAAAGGTTTTATAGTGCTCAATTTATAACTAGTGGCATCCTAAAAGCTATAGCCTGAATTGTTAATTAATATATATGTCATGTTATCCATCCATCCATGTTAGTAAATCTAAAATATCATCTATCCTGTTGTGAAATAATTAAATGGAAACAATTAATTTCCTAAATAACCAAATTAATGTAATTGTTGTTAGATGTCTCTTGAGGTCATTTCTAACTTTATTTTGGCACATTGCCTTATTTATTTAATGTTTCATGCATTATCAACACGAGAAGATTAAAATAAACCTCTTGAGGTGTGGATATAGCGGACCAAAAGAGATTTTGAGTTCGATTATAGTTTTTTTCCATGACTTTTTCTTCATATCAAACTTATTTTATTTTCTCATAGCTTAATTGTATAAGTATAAATATTATTTTTTAAAAGTATATTAATCATCATGATCACCCAATTATTACTATAGAAATGAGAAAAAAATTAAAATAAAATTCATCTCCTACTTATATTGCTAATTTCTTATCTTTTTTAAATGAATCAATTTTAAGGAATCAGTATCTCAGTATAAAACAAGTTGGATTAATCATAGGTTTGAAACTTGCATTGAAAATAAAAATAAAAACATGTTAATTGACAAATTAATTTAAAACTAGCGTTAATGTTAATCCTTATAATAAAATTAATTAATTATATTAATTTGGATTTCTTGGAAAATAATTATTTGATTTAATTTCCTGTAGTAATAGTTGATTAGATAGAAAGTTGGACATAATTAATTATTTTCTGGATTTACTTGCATGGGCTGATGACATAGCATATTAGTTAATGAATAAATTAAGTTATAACTTATAAGATGCCACTATTTATCGTTCTATAACTTGATACCACTCAAATTATAACTAGTATCATTCTATAACTTATAGTTTAAACTATTAATCAATATGACATGTCATCAATATTATATGCTAATCCATAAAATCATTAATTACGATAGCAAAATTAAATTGAAGCACTTACTTTCCTAAAGATCCAAATTAATATAATTATTGTTAGTTTTGTTTTGAAGTCCTTTCTAACTTTATATGTAGCATTGCCTTGTTTTATTTAATGCTTGATAATGATTGTTAGTTTTTTTTTGTAAGTCATTTCTAACTTTATTCGGGCACACTACCTTATTTATTTAATGCCTAATGCATTATCAACATGAGAAAATAAACTTTCAGAGGTGTGGAAATAATAGACCGAAAAGAAATTTTGAGTTTAATTATAAGGTTTGTTTCCCATGACTTTAAAGTGATTATTTATTCGTATTGAATTTATTTTATTTTCTTATAACTAAATTATATAAACATAAATATTATTTTTTTAAACTAAACTAATCATAATGATCGCCCAATTATTATTATAGAAATGAGAAATAAAAAATAAAAAAAAATATCATGTCCTGCTCATATTTCTATTTTTTTAACTTTTCTAAATGAATCGATTCTGATTTACATTATCATGAGAGGGCAATATTTTAATATGCAAAAATTTGAATTAATTATATTTTAGGTTTGAAGCTTTCATTGAAAAAAAAAGGGGTTAGTTGATAAATTCATTTTAAACCAAAATCAATGTTAATCGTTTATCTAAAAAGAAATGATTACATAAATTTGGCTTCTAGAAAAGTAATTGATTTCATTTAATTTCCTGTTTTAGTAGTTGTTCTAAATAAAAAATTGGATATAATTGATGATTTTTTGGATTTGCTAACGTGGCCGGTAACATTATATATTAGTTAATGGTTCAATTTATAACTTATAGGTAGGATTACACGAGTGTTTCATTTATAAAAATGGTTTTTTGAAAATTATTTATAAAAATGTTTCATTTACTATTTATTTTATTAAAGATAATTTATGAAATTATATATTTTTTAAAATTTTATCATTATTTAACTTTTTTATTTATTAGATTTGATTTTCATTCTTTTAATACACTTTTAAAAAACTAAAATATTAATAAATTATTTTTTAATTCATTATTTCTATAATATAACCAAACACTAAAAAATATTCTCAAACTCATTTTCCATGACACTATATAGATTAAAAAATAATTTAATTTTTAGGAAATTACTTTTCTTGGAAATAACTTTTCAAAAAAATTATTTTAATTAACATTTGATTTCCATAAAATTTTTCAAGATATGGTTTTATCATGCATGAACATTTTTACTACAAAGGAGATTTATTTCCGTTCTTATTATTAACATGTCCTATTTTTATTAGATAGGAGATTTATTTCCTCTCTTTTTTAAAGGTAGTCATTTTTTTTTTAGATTTATAAACGACCTTCTCATACTCTCTCTCTCTCTCTCACACACACACACACTACATATTACACCCTTCATGTCATGGCATTCGAGACCTTTTCTTTCGCTGCATTCGTTTCTCTCCTGCTGCTCCTCCTCCCTTACCTATTCCATTCAATTTTGGCCCACGCAGTTGTCCAAAAACAATCACCATTTCACTTTATCAAGCATCTTCAAGGATGTAAAAAAGGTGTGAGGATGAGAGGTATCCATGACCTCAAAAAATACCTCCATCGTTTTGGATACTTGGACCATCGGCATGTTGTTAACAGTACTAAACATGAAGGTGATCATTTTGATGAACACATTGAGACTGCCATCAAAATCTACCAGCTCAATTTCAACTTAAAGCCTACCGGAGTCTTAGACCCTGAAACAGTAGCGCGGGTGGCGATGCCACGATGCGGGGTGCCGGATATCATAGACGGTAAAACCAGAATGAATGCTGCAGGTAGAAACAATATTATTGAGTACGCGTTCTTTAATGGAACACCCAGATGGCCATTATCCAAGAAAGTACTTAACTGGGGACTTCAACCTGGTACCCGAAGAGATGTAATCGACCCTCTTGTAGAATTTGCTTTTCTGTCATGGAGTGGTGCGACACCTTTTGCGTATAATTTCGTCGATGAAAACCTTAGTGTTGCGGACATCAAAGTTGGTTTTACAAGTGAGGGTCAGGGAAATGAAGATTTTGATGGGCCTGGAGGTCAACTGGCTTATGCAAATCCACCACCAATAGGAATTATGTTTTATGATTCTGATGAAAAATGGTCAGATGGTCCAGTCAAGGGAGCCTATGACATGGGATCAGTTGGATTGCACGAACTGGGACATGTTCTAGGGCTTGCCCATACCTCCGTCGAGAATGCTGCCATGTTCCCAATTATCAAAAGTGGAGTAACCAAAGGTTTGGCGGATGATGATATTCAAGGAATGAAAACTTTATATGCCAGTTGAAGAGCATTGGGATATTTTTCTACTGCATGGATATAACTAGACTAGCTACGAATCTCTTGGAAAAGGAAAAAAAAAAAGCAGCAGAGAGGAAATAAAATAAACATATCCCAGAATAATTATATCATCCAAGCACAATCACATTAAATAATAAAAAGTTTATATTTTTTATTCACTGTCCGAAGAATTGACGAAGTTTGATGGTCTCCTCTTCTCTTTCCTTTCCTGCATTCTTTTCTTTCGACATATTTTTCTTTTGAAGAGACACTATTAAACTTTTATTTTTTTCTAATTAATTAATATAATTAATATTAATATGGATTGGGCAAACACATCATTGATAACCCAAATCTTATTGAATTAAATTCAATCTAGAATGTTAAAAAAAAAACCATTTACTATCACTTCTAGTCATTAGCTATCACCATCCAGTTATTAGCCATCTCCACATTTGAAAATTAAATTTTTTTATTTTGAATTTGTGTATAAATAATTAGTTAAGTTTATACTATTATATATTGAAAGATTTGAAAGAAACACTAGGAAAAAAAAAAAGATGTCAATTAAGCTTTTGTTTAATTATAATAATTTTTTGTATTTAAAATAGAAAATATATTTTATCCCACCACCAACAGTAATTTCTCTCACCAACAAATCTGTCTTCTTATTTTTTATCTACATAATCAAGAGAATCATTAGCACATCTCTCTTTCCCTTTTAAATGTTGTCATTCCATTATGAAGAAAGATATTCAGATCTGATGGTTTTTGTTTTAGTAAGAACTTCTCTCAGCATGTCATCGGTGAGTTTATGGTCGGACTGCTATAGCACTGAAGCATCTGACTGAAATCCCATCCCAGAATGCAAGTGCAGAGTCAACCAATAAACTAGACAACAGACAAAAGGATGCAATGCCACCAAATCAATTTCATAACCCCAGGCATGCAAAACATATATCACCGCAAGAGACAAGCAGCAGCGGTGCACTCCGGTGGATACCCAGTAGCTATAACAATGCATGCCAAATCACGAGCGTGACCAGAAAAGTCCTCGAGGTAATTCCACTCAAGATATAAACAGAATTCACGGTGAACGCAATGGCGAAACTATATTCCACTTTGAATATATCGGCATTAAGAAGCTGCTCTGATAACATTCTTTGGCTAGCTGTAAATATGATGATCTCAAAAATACAGGAAACTCTCTCCAAAAAGCTACAGCAAGGATATTCTCTGCAATCAACGCTTTCCTACTGATACTATATAGGTTGCTCAATGGCAAGCCATGTGTGTTTAAACTGAGTCCTTGTGTTGTTTGCTGAGATAAAGCCAGGTTATGGCTAAAAATGCCATTAATCAATTCGCATAGTTTCCTTCCCATCTTTCTCGTATCTCCATCACCACTAGTGCTCTGTTTTTAGCTTCACTTGACAATCTGTCTGTACAGCTTTGAACAAGCTAGCTTTCCATCTGTATCCTTGCATTGACTAACCCTTGAAGTTACCATTCAACCCATCACACCTCTCTCACTACGTCAAGGCTGGTCTCATTGAATACACAATCAAGGTGTTCGACGAATTGACTCTAAGAGATTTTTGTGGCATCGGTTGGAACTGAATTTCTAAGTCATGCATGCCTAAAAAACTAGATTGTGTTTTAAGGAATCACAGAAATAATAGGAACATGCATGCATGTCACAAGTTAGGCTGCTGCTTTCAAACTATATGCATGTATTTTAAGAAGCGAAATTCAGAAACACGAAGCTGGCAATGTCATGTCTCCGTCTGCTTAACGAAAAACACAGCGAGAGTGAAATTGACCTGCTGTTCAATGCGGTAAATTCCCCATGTCAAAGGAGAAACAACAAGATGATGAAGCACCAGAAGAAGAAAAAAATTTGGACCATTTCTCGATTTGTGCGTGTCATCCTTGCGCAGGGGCCATGCTAATCTTCTCTGTATCGTTCCAATTTTATCAGATGTCTCCGAAGAGACAGGATCAGGTCCACTTGCGTTTTGCTTATAGAATGGCTTGTCTTTGCAACTATGCGATGTGGGTTTAGTTCCATTCCAACTATCAACGTCACGCGTTTAGTTTTGCACGTCATCAGTCTTATACACAGATGGGCTTTGTAAGTGCGGGTCATGATAACAGCCTGACTCCTGGAGCCCAAATTTAATCGACTGAAGTCGGTAGTTCAGTACTTGGGGCCATGAAGTCAGTAGTGAAGTCTAATAAATATTCTTAAGTTGCAAGTCTCTCTTCTTTGCCCTTTATTTTTCTTTCACATGCACTGCCTCTTTGAAACTATAATGTAACGGATAATAATCAAAACCAAGTTCCTGTTCCTTGTTTGTGGTTTTCTCTCTCCAAATTTTTGTTAATCTTATCTTTCTACGATCCCTCTCTTCTCTCACTCCCACCTCACAAGTTTTTTTTTTTTTTAAATTGTACATCGGGCTCGTGACTAGAAAAGGACTGCTTACCATGTTTTTCTTTCTCGAATACAACTTCAAAAGAAAAGAAAAAATGTGTCAAAAAAGGTGAACTAGGTGGAGTGTTGTGTTGACAATGATTCAGTACCCATCATGGATGGGATGATTAAGATGTCAAGTGCTATTACAACTCAAAAGCATCATTGCATCATCTGTACCGTAATGAAATTTAATGATAATCCATCAGCATCCCGAGCGTTGAGAAAAAATATGTTTAGAAGTGCTATAATGATTATTTTTTATAATTTTTTTATTTAAAAATATATTAAAATATTATTTTAAAAAATAATTGCTTTTAATAGAGTACATTAAAATAATTTAATAACATTAAAAAATTATTAATTTGAAGAAAAAAATCAATTTTTTTCAAAAATAATTTTAAAATACAAGCTAAAAAAAATACCCAAAGAAATAGAACAGCGATTGTAAATGGCCACCTAATCATAATATGCGGGAATTAAATTCTGTGTGGCCAAATTTACCAGAAGATAGAAGCTGAAAATGATTAGCAGATAATGATCTTGATCGTGGGTTTTTCTGGAAGACTTGCTTCCTCCAGAACTTAACAAAGGACACAAGCTGTTGTTGTTTTCATTTGGCATAGGTTGCTTCTGAAACAAGCTCACCAGGAAAGGTTCGGTTAACTGCTGCTAAATAGAAGTCATGTGTGCCCCTGAACAAGAAACTCCAACTTTATGTCTTAATTATGAGAAATTTTTACCACCTTAAATTTAAATAAGAGTGCAGGAGAGATATAACCCAAAGCTTCAGTGTCACCTACTTCTGCAGTCTTACCTTTTAAGCAAATACACACATCAAAGTTCCCAGCCACAATTCTCTATCTTTTCCATTCCCTCTCGATACTTGGTTGATTTTCAAGTAACTCAAAACAGAATGCTACCAGAGTTTTGTAGTCCAAGAACCTCCCACAGCACTTCCACATTTTAGCAATCCAAATATTTCTGAGCTGCGGCAAGGCAATATCTTAGAGACCGTCAGATGGGTTCGTTCCAAATTGGAATGCGAAGCTCTGCGTTACTAGAAACATCATGTGGGTATCTGCTTCAGGAATTGCAGGCAAGACTACCTCTTGGAAATTAATATAGTAATTTATCCACGAATAACAGCGGTGCTTTTTTCTTTTAAGTTATATAAAAGAGGACAGAATTCATTTTTTGTTCGAAAAATACCCTTATTTAGTTAGCATGCAAGATATTGTTTTTTAAACTCCATGTTCTTTTACATTTGGAGGCATTTTATCATTAACCCGTTTTCTTAAAAACCTTAATCTAACTCCTAAAGCATTTTCATTTACTATCTTTTATCGTATATTTTTTTATTTCGCATTTATTTAATATGGAAGTCAATAATAATAAAAAATATAATTATATTATGTTCCTAATGTCTTGATGTCTTTGTTTATAATAAACATGTCACATTTCCAGTTTAAATAAACAATGATGTGAAACAGATGATCTGGGATGAAGTTGGGAAAGATCAGTTTGAAAGAGAGAAGGTTCTGCATGATTTAGAACAAGAATGTTTGGAGGTTTACCGGAGAAAAGTTGACAATGCAAACATATCAAGAGCTCGCCTGCATCAAGAGCTGGCAGAATCCGAAGCTGAATTCACCCATCTTCTTTTGTCCCTTGGTGAAAGATCACTTCCAGGACGGGTACTTTTTCATCCATCTGCATCCAATTCACTTATTTGAGCATTTAAAATTGCATGTTTATGAGCTAAAAGCACAGTATAATATAGAACACTAGTGCATAGTAAGGATACAAATTGAGAATTTTAAACCATTCAGTGATTAGCAACACACATTTAGCATAAATTACTTGATTGATTACTTGAGTCATTGCCACTCTACATGGTGATGAACCGGCCAGGGATCTCTATTGTTTGTTTATTGAGCAAATTCCATATTGATGATAGCATTGTTGGATGCGCATGATGTTCTCATTGAATTTCATGCGCTGATTATCTTGTTGTCTCTACAGCCAGAAAAAATGTCAGGAACGCTGAAGGAGCAGCTAGATGCAATCACCCCAGCTCTCCGGGAGATGCGTCTGAGAAAAGAACAGAGAATGAATCAATTTAGATCCGTGCAAGGCCAAATTCAAAAAATTTCTGCTGAAATTGCAGGTCAATCAGTATACGATGACTCAATAACAAATGTCATTGTGAATGAGAATGATCTTTCATTAAAGAAACTCGAGGAATATCAGATTGAGCTACAAAGACTGTGCGATGAGAAGGTAAAAGTACCAATTTCACAAATCATCTCATGGAAATTTATACTCTCATGTGGAAAGGGGACTTCACTTATCTTCCTCTTTCACTGAATTGAAGAATGACAGGCTCCAGCTAGTGGACACATACATCGACACAATTCATGATTTGTCCTCAACATTCGGAATGGAATCCTCCATGATCATCACAAAGGTGCATCCAACTTTGACTGAATTGTGTGGAATATCAAAAAATATAAGTGACAGTATTCTGGCGAAACTCAACAGCACAGTGGAATCTCTCAAAGCAGAAAAACAAACGCAGCTTGAGAAGGTAAATATTACTATCAATGTTGTGGTAACTTCTGGCTCCTACTATGCAAACCTCAGTAGCGGAATCTAGCATCTTGTCTACAGAAAAAAATACACATTTGAAATGGCATCGTAGTGTCATGTGGATATAAGTTGGAGATACAACAGATAGCAGTAACCAGAGAAATGAATGATGAAAGCTAACCGATTAGTTTGATTCAATCCTACATATATTAAACAGTTCAAGTGCTCTAAATCACATATAAATAAAACAATACGGGTCATCAAAGTTGTTCCTGCTTCCACCATTTTATTTCCATTGATCTAAGAAACAGTACTAACAATAAAGAACTGGCACTGTATAACTTTTCTGAATTTGACAGCTTCATCAGCTTGGAAAAGCACTAACAAACTTGTGGAATCTAATGGACACACCCTATAAAGATCGTCACTCATTCTCCAATGTCACAGCCTTATTATCTCTCACATCAGCTGAAGTATCAGATCATGGAAGCCTTACTCTAAATATAATCCAGCAGGTTAGTATATGATTAACGGTGAGAAATTATCAGAAACAACTCAGACATAATAGTTTTTTGAAATGTTTCAAGGCTGAAGCTGAAGTCAAGAGACTGGATCAGCTAAAAGCAAGCAAGATGAAAGAGCTTTTCTTCAAGAAAAAGAATGAGTTAGATGAAATATGCAATAAATCACACATGGAGATTCCTTCACAGCCAGGGATGGAAAATATAATTAATCTTATAAACTCAGGTAAGATTGACTGAATTTGTCTTTCCTATCAGTTTCCTGATCTAATTCATGTTTAAACTAGTATCAACCACACTGAATGAAAACCAAAAAAGGGGAGATTGACCATGCCGATCTCCTCATGAGTTTGGATGAGCAGATATCAGCAGCAAAAGAAGAAGCCACTAGCAGGAAGGCTATAATGGAAAAGGTTGAAAGGTGGATGCTAGCACATGATGAAGAGCGTTGGTTAGAAGAATATAGCATGGTTAATATCACCCATTGATCTGCATGATTTGTTGGCTCCTGGCCTTTTTTTTTTTGCATGATGATTCATATTTTCTTCCATGTTATCAGGATGAAAATCGATATTCAGTTCGCAGAGGTGCTCACAAGAATCTGAGACGTGCAGAACGTGCCCGAATAATAGTCAACAAAATCCCAGGTAAGACTAGGAAGTTGGTTGGTTGGTTTGCAAAGAATCCTGAAACAGCAATAGGCATGCTAACATGCCAGATCAAAGCCTCTGCAACCACAAACTAACCAGAAAATGCACCCTGGCCTTCACCATTAAGACTAAGATCCTGGAGCCAAAATAGTCATTTTCAATAGGTAAAGAAGTGAAGGTTCGCATTAGTCAATAAAATGAATACTAACTAGTAATTGAGTCAAGGAGTGGTTGGTGAAGAGACCTGTAGTAAAAAAGTTATTGCAGGATGAAAAGCCTGATTCCATCTTCCAGCCATGTAGACAGCTGACCTTGCGTTTTGAAAATCTTATTGCTTTAATACATGCCAGTGATATTTATGTATAGTGTGAAACTGGTTGCGCAGTTCTAGTGGCATTGCTTATTGCAAAGACTAGGAGTTGGGAAGAGGAAAGAAACAAAATATTCTTGTATGATGGGGTAAGTAATTTATTTGCTTCAGATGTGACTACATATTGGTAAAATATTAATTTTATCAGCATGTATGAACCTACACATATTGTATTCATCAAGTGTAAAAGAAGAATTTCTTGTTCGGCGTTGCAGCATTTCTCCATAAATTGTGAGTTTCCTTGCAAATCAAATAAACATTTGCACGCATTATAATCTAGGTACCTCTGCTGGAAATGCTAGAAGAATATAACATGTCAAGGCAGGAGAGGGAAGAGGAGAAGCAAAGACAAAAGGTTAGTTCATCCAACACTATACAGGCGAAGGTTTTGATATTATCTATACGTTAATAATGTTTCCCCTCTCTTTTCTACAATGTTAATCTTTTTGTTAGCATAAAATAAATACCACGTTCAAGAATGACTTTATTTTCGTTACCTAATGTGTGGTGAGCTGGCCTTTGCATCACAGGAAAAGAAGGTCCCAAGCCATGTAGTAGCTGGGCAAGAAAATGTGGTTGGGTCAAGGCCAGACACCGGCAGTCGACGTCTTTCAAACAGGAGCTTAAATGGAAGCTTGAGCAATGCAAACCCTTTAAACAGAAGGCTTTCACTTTGTCTCCAACAGTTGGGAACCCATAGCATCAATTCTGCAAATCAAGGAATATCTTACATAAAGGAAGGAAGAAAGATGCAAGGACAGAGGATGTTTCCTCGACCTGACCTCACTTCTCATCTTCGAGATGAAGCAGTTTCCGTCGTCTCATCCTTTTCTGGGCCGTTATCTCCCTAAATTCCCATTCAGCTATTCAAATCTTCACACGTAACCACAAAAACCTCACATATCACAAGATATTAAACTAAACATAATAATATTTTTCTTCTTCTGCAGAACAATAATTTACCTATTTACGTCAGAAAATACCCTTATATATCTATCTATGTCCTTCCATTGCACATTTAAGTTATTGTTTACTGTATCGAATAAGTTGATATTTAAAAGTATGTACAGTTATGTTTTGAATTCAAGAAGCTTTGATTCTCCTATTCTACTGGAAGTAATTTGAAACGTAATAATTTTCAGTGAAATTCTAACATAAATTAACAAAATCACTTACGTTATAAAACTTGAATATTTGCCGCCTTGGTGACGAAATGATCGACCCGGCGAGTGCCTACCGGGGTTGGTTTATCTGCCAAGGTAAGAGCACTAGTGTTGTCACTCGCAGACTTCTCCGGTGATTGAATTGGCAGAGGGAGAGATTCTAAGAGGGTGGTGCCTTTTAACAGCGACTCGAACGTGGTCGAGTTTCACAGTCTTTAGCTTCGGCTGTTCTCGATTGCATTTTCAGCTGATTTCTCAGAGAAACAACTCGGTGGTGCTGGAGACAATGAAAAGAGTATCTGGGTTGACCTTGTTGATGTCTTTGTCGAGATTCTCTTGATCCGACCTGTTGGGAATTCAGGTCTGGTTGTTGTTGTTGCTTCTGTCTTGTTCTGAGAAGGTGAATTCTAATGGGAGATGGGAATTGGAAGTGTGTGGATTGTAAAGTTTGAATGTTTGATCGGGGAATTGAAAGAAGCGGGAAGGGAGGGTATTTTATAGGGTTTTGTTTGACGGGAATTTGGGGGCTTTCCTAAAGCTCCATTCCCGTTGGCGGGAAACACTACACTCGCTTGAACGTGAGAGAGACAGATACTCCATACATACATACATACATATATACATACATACATATATATATACATATATAGATATATATATATGAAAACTCCGGACCAAATTTTTTATCCTTTATCCTTGAAATTTTGATCAATGAGCTTTATTTATTTTTAATTAATTCATGTTGACATGATTTTATTTATCTGTATCTATTCCAGTTTGTGTTATTTCTCATTGAATGTTCCAGTGTTGATTACAAGATCAGTTTTATAAAAAACAATGTAATATTATTTTTAAAACTAACATTCAGAGATTAAGAATTGAAATTAAAATCAAAAAACCATGAGTTTATTTTTAAATGACCTGAAATATTTGATTTGATTTCTCGTACTTCGTTTTTTTTCAAATCCAGTTCATTTTCCTACTGAATAAATCTTATTGACACCAAGTTTTTACAATGTTTTTGTTGTCATTCTCGCAATAATCATTTATTTTCTTCCCTTTGGCTATTTTTTAACAACTTTTTGTTTGCTTTCTCTAACTCTAATACTGAAAATTAATAAAATAAATTTTTATATTAGAATAAAATCTGTTATAAATTTATGATGAGTCAAATATTTTCTTTGTATTTTAATTTCAAGTAATTAAACTGAAAGATAATATAATTTAAAAAAAAGTTTGAAAATTAAAAAAAGATGGACGAAAAACTTACTGCCACGTTATACTTGTTTTAGTTTATGTTAATTGAAGAATTTCTATTTATAGTTTTTTTATTATTATTATTATGTATATTCAGATTAACTTATATATATATTGATTAATTTTATAAATTTTAAAATTAATAATTATATAAATTTTTAATGATTTTAAAATTTATGAGATTCAAATTAATAATTTTTAAAAAATAAATTTAGAATATGAAAAATTAAATTACTCTCCCTGATATTTTCTCTCAATTGTCTTTGATATACCTAGATGCCGAGTAATTGTATGGCAAAATAGATTCGATTCTAAATGCGTTTCATGGTTAAGATACCCTGACATGTTCACTTGTCAGGTTATCACTTGTCAGGGTATGTGAGTGTATTTGAAGTATGACCCGTAATACTGTGTATGTGAGTTGGTTATGCGTCGATGTATTTAAGGCATGGCCAATAATACCCTGACGTGTAGTAAAAATTCAAAGTATTTTTTTGATAATGACCAATAACACTATTTTTTTTCCAAAAATCGAGACTAATTAATAATATAGTTTCAAAATATTTTATACTTTTAAAAATTTTATTATCCTTTATTTTATTTTCATGATATAAATTTTTTAAATTCAGTTTTAATAGATAAAAAATGAAATGGCATGTCTACATATATTATTGGCTTATAAAACAAATATATTTGATAATATTATAATTTTAAATCAACATTAAATAAGTAATAAAAACTAAAAGTATGATGAAATATTCCATGATGGTAAAAAAAGTTGTGCTGGTTATTAAAAACTCAAAGACTAAGAAAAATAATTTGTAACAGTTCACAGTGTTTTGTGAAGAAAAATATAGTATTTTCACTATGTGATTTAACTTTTTTATTGGTAAAAAGAAAAAAATTACAAAGCAAAACTATCTACTAGCTTAATATTAAAAAAATATCGATAAAGATAATTTTAAAAAGAAAAAAATATACGAGAGAAAACATTGTAGCAATTAATAATGTTTTGTAAGGAAAAATATAGTGTTTTTCTAATAAAATTAACAAAGATGATTTTAGAAAAAAAACATGAAAAACCATTTAGAGAAATAATGTAGCAATCCACGGTGTTTTGTAATGAAAACTATAATACTTTCTCTATATGATTTAGCTTTATTTTAATTATATTTTTTAACCATCCCGATGTTAAATAAAATTTACAAAGATAATTTTGAAAAAACTCATAAAAAATCACGTGGAAAAACACTACAAAAATTCACAATGTTATAAGAAAAAAAATACAAAACTAAATTTTTAACTGGCTCAATATTAAAACAATAGATAAAGATAATTTTTTAAAAAAACATATAGCCAAAAAAAGGGGAAAAAAACATGTTGAGAGCATTGTAACAACACATGGTGTTTTGTGATGAAAACTACAATACTTTTCCCACATAATTTAGCTTTATTTGTAATTACTTATAATTCTAATTCTCAACCAACTTAATATTAAGAAAATAAAATTAAAAATGATAATTTAAAAAAACCATAAGAAAAAAACCATGTGAAAATATACTGTAGCAATTAATAATGTTTTGTGAGAAAATCTATAATGTTTTTCCTATATTATTAAGCTTTATTATAAATTTAAATTATAACTAGTTTAATATTTAAAAAATAAAATTTAAAAAAATAATTTAAAAAATACCATGAAAAAATAAAGAACAAAAGAAACAGGAAAAAAACCACGAGTAAAAACATTAGCAGTTCATAGTGTTTTGTGAGGAAAGTTACAATATTTTTCCCACATGATATAGCCTTATTTATATTTACTTGTAATTGTAATTCTTAACTAGTTCGATATTTTAAAAATAAAAATTGATAAATATAATTTTTTAAAAAATATAAAAAACAAAAAAAATATATAGAAAAAAACACTACAACGATCTACAGTAATCTGTAAGGAAAGCTAAAGTGTTTTCCCAACATATTATAACTACAATTCTTAATCGGCTTAATATTAAAAAATATAATTTTTTAAAAATAAAAAAAAAAACATGTAAAAATTACTATAGAAATCAACAATGTTTTAAAAAAAAACTACAAAAAAAATTCTCTATCAGCTCAATATTAAAAAAATAAAATCAACAAATATAATTTTAAAAAATAAAAAAATAAAATAGAAAAATCATGTAGAAAAACACCGCAGCAATCCACCGTGTTTAAAAAAAATTATAAAGCTAAATTTTTAACTTGCTCAATATTAAAAAAATAAAATTAACATAGATAATTTAAAAAAAAAGAAAAAGAAAAAAAGGGAAAGTAATGTAGGGAAAACAAAAAAGAGAAGTATTACAGCGATTCAAAATAACATATGAGAAAAGTTACAGTACTTCCCCCACATGTTTTAGCTTTACGCACAATAAAATTAAAAAATTATATGAAAAAATACTATAGCAATCTATAATATTTTAAAAAAAATTATAAAGATAGATTTTTAATCAGTTTGATATTAAAAAAATAAAATTAACATAAATATTTAAAAAAAAAAAAATGTCATAGCAATTAAGAGTAACATGTGATTAAAGCTATAATACTTAACTCACATGTTTTACCTTGTGTGTAATGGTTTTTCCCTAAAATTATTGTTCTTAACTATATGGGATAAATGATAATAAAGTCAAGTTTAATTAAAAAGAAAAAATTTCACCAAAATTGTAAACCGGAACAACTTGGGTCACTCTAACAAATAGATAAATCATTTTAACCCTAAAAAAATAAATTATAAAACTGAATTTTTAATTACATCACTATTAAAAAAATAAAATAAAATAAAAAAACAAAAAAAAAGTCTTAAAAAATAAAAAAACTGACAAAAATTGAAAAAGTGACAAAAAAAAGAAGAAGAAAGAAGGCACCATAGATTGCTACTGTAATCTATGGTGTAATTGGTGCATGTGAACAGTAAATTTTCTATACCTTTTAGTTTTTATATTAATAATAACAAGTATAATTAAACGTTAGTGTTTGTTTGGAAAATAAATAAAATGCTACAAATTTAACAATTTTGGCTTAAGCATTTTTCATGGATACAGGTCTATTACTATTAACGTTTAAACACAATAAGAACAATACAGACAGATATAGAAAAATGACAACAATGTAATTAAATAATTGATTATGTATAAATAATAGAAAGATCAAAATCGTGCCAGCCGGGAAAGGCACGAATCAGTTTTTTACTGTGCTGGAATTAATATACAATGAATTAGAGCAGAGTATTTTTTTTATTTTGTTTTTAAAATTTTATTTCACACGATTTAATTGTTTTAAACTCAAATTAACCTCTATTTATATATTTTTTTGGGGACAGAAGATTGGATTGAAAGTTAAAGAATTTAAGTAAAAGTTTTAGGTAACAAAATGCAGGTTGAAAATTTCATTTTAATCCTGGTGTTTATTAAATATTGGGTGGTTAATTTTTTAAATTTATAGATAATATATTTGATATCTAACTTAATTTTCTTTTTTAGTACTTTTATGTTAGAATGAGAGAGAGAGTCATCAAATTTCAGTTTAAAGAAAAAAACTAGTTATTAAAAAAGATTACAGCCATTATAATGATTGATTTTTGTGTCAAAAAGTTTTATACAATAAAGAGGTTACATTTAAGTTTTTTTTTTGTTTTTATCTTCTAAACACCTAGAATAGCAAATCTAAGTTCAAAAAAAAAATTTATTTTGGGAGAATTTTGGATTTTGAGGTGGTTTTATAGGATTTTTTGTGGGCATAAACTGATTTAATAAAGTCTTTATAATATTTTTTAGGTGTTTTGGGTAAGCAATAAATTAAAATGATATTTTAAATAGAAAAAATAAAAAATCCTACTTTTTTGAGTACCATAATAGCTGGATTCTAGGTTTCTCATATGATATGTCATCTGTTGATGTAGACGATATATATATTTTTTTTTAAATAATTAGAGTTGATGACACATCATTCACCTTATTATTATTTTTTAAATAAAAGCCCACATCAAGCCTTGCAGGCCCATGTCGTTGCTTTATTGTGTCGAGCCTAGTAAGATAGATAAAAAAAATATATAAAATTTTTTAATCTATAGATAGATTAAGAGAAATATCAATATTTATGTATATATTTTTTTAATCATAATCAATCATAAATTATTTCATTGGCAAGTAGCTGAATGAAAAGAAACTCTCATGTTCAGTTCTACGGTAAAAAAATTGTTAAAATAAAAAAATTTGTGCTGGATTTGTTTATTATAATTCTTATTTAAATAGATAGTTAGATTCCTGGGTAGATGGTTATAATTCTTCATGACAATGTATTCAAAATTATAAGATTCCTGGATAGATGGTTATAATTCTCCATGACAATGTATTCAGAATTATAAGAGTTTGTGTAAGAATGCTGAATTAATGAACACAGCTTTGAGAAATTCATCCAAATACTAATGTTATTTCCAACAGTTTATGCAAGAAAATTCGTGTACATCACAAACAGGTCGATTCAATCTAATTTTTTCACTTGCTAGTCATTTTTAATTTAGAGAATGTTTGTTTGATAAAAAATGATTTTTAAATTTTTTTATGTTTATTTATTATTAAAAAAATCAGTTAATAAAAAATATTTTATAATCAAATAAAAATCTGACTTAATTTTCAAGAAAGTGTTTTTATTTTATTTTGAGTGAAAATCATTTTTTAAAAATCATGAAAAAATTAAAAATTTTATATTATTTGTTGATTATATCAAATTTAATTTTAAAATTTTTAATTGTTATATATATTTTATTTTAAATATTTTTTTTATTTTATTTTTTAAAATTTAATTTTTATATTAATTTTAATTTTTAAGTGCTCCCATTTTTACACACCGGAGATAAACATTTTTATACACTAGAGATAAAGGATTTATCGATGCCTTTTGGCTCCATGATTAGGAAGGGGAAATATCTGATGAATTCATGCCAAAATCAAAGGCAACCAGGAATTGAAGTGCTGTCATTTCAGGGGGGGAATATTTGTGAAACGCTTGTCATGTTAGTACCAGTAGGGAAATATGACAGCCACTTGTCTCCACGAAAACTTGCAATCTCGCTTGCCTGTTGTGTGAACTGCATTACAATGACCTGTGGAAAGACAGACCACCCATATATGTTTATTTTTATCCGGACGGAGGACCCTTCATTCATGAAGACCTTTCCTTTAGTACATGAAATTATTATCATATTAATGGTTCTAGAAAACTATTATTTGATGTCATAAAGTTAGCCTGTGGTGGAAACTGCATGACAATGAAATGTAGAAGGACGAATTTTTTATTATTTTAATAAATTTTTAAAAATAAAATATTTATAAGTTATTTTTTAATTTATTTTTATAACATAATTAAATATTAAAAAATATTTTTTAACTTATTTTTTTATTAAATATCAAAAAATAATTTATTTTTTAAAAAAATTACTTTACAGTAATAGACGGGGTTGATCCAAATTTCTTCTTCATAATTTTTAACATATTATACAAACGGCACGCTACTTCCGTAGGATCGATTCGGTGTCTCAACATGCGACGACGACGTATTTACCACGTGCCAGACAGAAAGTCTCGGTAACAGACGGTCTTACGAAGGCCGTTACTTCTTAAACCCTCTCTTTCATTTTCTCATTAAACCCTAGCTACTCCTCTCTTAGATCTCGACAGAACTAGGAAACGGACAGCAAGTCAGCAACAATGGAGTTCTCTCAAGATGACTTTGATCGTCTCTTAAGGTTCGAGCACGCTCGTAAATCTGCCGAAGCTACCTACGCTGAAGACCCTCTTGATGCCGACGTGGGTACTCTATATTCGTTGCACGTGTTTCGTTTAATCTCCTGTTTGTTTCTGTTTTTTCCCATCGTCAATCCTGCTTTTTTTGTTTTTGGTTAATAGAATTATCTTTCACTTGATTATTACTTGTGTATGTGCGTTAGATCAAATACAAATCTCCCATCTTGTCCTGCATACATATATACAAACATGTTGCTTAGTTTTTTAAGTAAAAAAAATATATGCTGGTTATTACTTTAATTTTCTTTTTGCTCACCATTGATGTATTATCATTATGACTAGTGATTTGTTAGCATTAAAAAAGGAGGGTATGCTTTGCAGAACTTGACTAATTGGGGCGAGGCATTGCTCGAACTATCACAATTTCAAACCGTGGCAGAGGCAAAGAAGATGATAAATGGTACTGTAGTTTCTCTTGTTATAATCACCAATCCACAATTTAGCAAATTTTCTGTGCTTTATGTTATTGGGGCGGTGTCATAATTTTACAGAGGCTATTTCGAAGTTGGAAGAGGCAATGATGTTAAATCCAACAGCCAATGCCATGTGGTCAATAGGAAATGCCAACACTTCTTATGCATTTCTGACTCCCGATCTTTCTGAGGCAAAAAATTATTTTGACAAGGCAGCTGATTACTTCCAACAAGCGGTTGATGAGGTAATTTTGGAGTTTTTTGGGCTTTGATTCACAGGATATGTTTAAGCATATTAGTTTCCAGTAATCTTCACTAAGATGTAAGTCATAACTTTTCAATTTTGATTTTTGATACAGGACTCGACTAACGAGCTATACCACAAGTCTTTGGAAGTTTGTGCTAAGGTATACTTTGCACCTTCTTTCTCATAAAAAAGTTGAGTGTGAGCTGTTGTTTCTTTCATCGTATTTGGTGGTTTTGAGCCTACCCTGTTAGATTTCTGGTATGAATTTTACTAATTATGCTGATATAGCCCTCTATCTACTAATAAGGTAGAAATCACTTGGTTTTTACATGAAAATAGTGAGTCTTTGGAAGTTTGTGCTAAGGTATACTTTGCACCTTCCTTCCTTGTCATAAAAAAATGTTGAGTGTAAACTGTTGTTTCTTTAAGCGTATTTGGTGGTTTTGAGCCCACCCTGTTAGATTTCTGCTATGAGTTTTACTAATTATGCTGATATAGTCCTCTATCTACTAACAAGGTAGAAATCACTCATTTTCCTATTGTTGAAAAGCAGAACATACATCTTATGTTCACACATATTTCAATTTGAGGTGTTTGTTCCAAGGGAATCAAATAATCAAACCACAAAGATATTATATTGATTATCATCACCACAACTTCTCCAAATCTTCAATATTTTCCTTGTTATTCTGTGCTTTATGTTCTGAATGAACATTGCAAATCAAGCTTTAGCTTTTCTGAAACTACTTCTGTCTATCGTGATCAAATGAACTCCACTTTTGATCATGTGTCAGTACTATTTTTTAAGTGATATATGTGATCTTCCAGTTTCCCAACTAAAGATGTTGGCGATATCTTCTCAGGCTCCAGAATTGCATATGGAGATCCATAAGCATTCAAGCAGTCAACAGACCGTGGGTAGTGAATCTTCTCCTTCTTCAAATGCAAAGGTGAGGAATTTAGGCAGCTCATTTTTTTCGAAGTTCACCCAAGTAAATGGTTGCTTGCTTCTTCCTGTTCTTGAGAAAAAAATGTGTTTTCCTCCTCCTGTCCCTCCTTTTTTTGAAAAAAAACGAAAACAGTTAAAAGGATTTTTTTTATTGCAGCTTAAAATTTCATCATGTATGGGCTTTTCCTTGTACTATACTGTGACTTGGAGTTAGTTTCTTTTTCGAATAAAAGAAACTGTTGGAAAATTTTGGGAATTCAAATTGAAAACCGAGTTTTCTCACTTTAGGATGAAAAAACATCTAGAAGCAGAAGAAAGAACACTAAAAGTGCTGCATCCTGATTGAAAGCCTTCCAATATCTCCACGTATCAGCTAAAGAAACCCATAAGAACAGTTCAGAGCTCGAACATCCAGAGTTTGGTATCTTAAAATGTTGTATAGCACCTTATGATTTCTGATGGGGGTTCAGCACCAGGCTGAAATAGGAAAGTAACCAAATAACTGAGACAATTTGAATCATCGTTATACTTAAATGGCTGAAATTCTTGTAATTGAAAGCCCAAGGGAGATGTTTGCATTCTAGTCCACATGCATTGGTGTAACGTGAAGTGAATTGTAGTAGCAATGTCCTAGACTGGGTGAGGAAAGAGAATTCATCCTTGGAATGTAGAGTTAAATTAGTTCTTAGACCACCTTGTTGGTTGTCCGATACCCTCCCCCACCCCCACCCCTCCCACCAAAAAAAAAAAAGAAAAAAAAACAAGGAAAAAAAAGTCGAGTGCAAGCCCTCTTGAATATGACAAAAAATTGTCAAAAGTTAACTTAGATGTGTATCTGAAGAATCTGCTGTGTGTTCTTACACTGCCTTGGTTGTACCTTTCCCCTCTCCCCAAAGTCTCAAGCTAACAAAAAATTGGCGAGAGTCAACTTTGTTGTTTAATAAGAGTTTCTGTGCTTTAAATTCATTCAGGTGCCTTACTATCTGCTTTCCACATTTGTTTTCTTATTTCTTAGAAAAAGAATTCCAGAGAAGTATTTAGCAAATTAGCATGAGGCATTGTTAGTTTTTAACCCTGTTTTGTTATTTGCAAGTTACCACATTTGAATTAAAGTCTCCAATGTGCTGTAATCTGAGTTCAGTCAGCATTTTTCTTGCAAATTAATTTTAAGTAGATGATAAAGAGTCCTCTAGTTTCAGCCGGTGTGTTTTCTTTCATATTCTCTGTCTTCTCTTATTTTTCCAAATCACGTGATATGGAATGTAACACAAGATATTTATATGCACACCATATCCACTACTTTATGGTCTACAACAATTATGTCCTGCTTGCCCTCAATGGAATGGTGCGATGTATATTGTGGCCCTGATGTACAACTGCTGCCATTGCATATGGATTGTTGAAACAATTTTAATGAATCGACTCTAATGCACTTACTCCAAATTGGCTCTACAGCATGCATGCTGTTGTGTTATGTACATGCTATTCATGCATATATTTGTAGCTCACGTGTTCTCTCCTTGCACGCTTAACTTGTGCTTATGGTGGAATGCATCTGATTTCACTTATCCAATTCTAGGTTGGTCAATCAAGTTTATTTAAGTCCTCGGGATAAGTAAAACCGGATGCAAGCATTTCCTATTGCCTAACTTCACAAAATAGTAAAAAAATTGAGCCGAAACTATTCTCTTTATTCTAGTTAAAGCTCCATGTGGTTTCTTGTTGTGATGGATGCCACTAGTTTGATGTGACATGAGGTTCTTGACATGCCAATTCCCTAAAAATTTACAGAGCACATCAAATCCATAGTTTGTAATGCAGCTTAAGTATGATATTTTTTTAAGTGTTTGGTTCTGGAAGTGATGGTTAGCCATGAGTTAATATGGAGTTCACGCTGAATAATTTCCCACAGGTCACTCATTAATTACCATCTCACACGATTGCTATATATTTTTCAAAGCATCATCAGACATTTCTTTGTCAATCCTGTTTCAGGGCTCCAAGAAGAAGGCAAACAGTGATATGAAGTATGATATATTTGGATGGATTGTCCTTGCAGTTGGAATCGTTGCATGGATGGGGATTGCAAAATCCCATGTTCCTCCTCCTCCAATATAAGCATTAAGTGCAGATGGCAATATCTTTTCACGACATTATTCCTACTGGAAGGCATGTATATTCAGTTATACATGTGGTATGCTATCCGCATGTTGATCTTGATCTTTATTACTTACTCGGTTAGAATTATAATGTCGTGCAAATTTTAGTTATATACATCTGTTGACAGTCTTTCAAGCTTTTCTTCTTTTCCCTCTTACGCCCATTTGCTCGGGTTGTTTGATGTCATGAGACCATCCTGCTCCTGGTAAGAAAGCGATGCGGCGTATATCATGGTTAAAAGCAAGGGTTCTCAAGTTTTAAAGTTACGTACCTAGATCTTAGTTATAGAAAAATTTTAAAAAAATTCTATAGTATTTCATTACACGCCTAAATAATAGTCTTTCTCTTGAAATAAACTAGAAATTACTATTTATGTTTATATTGGTATTAAAAATTTTTGTAGGAAAAAAATTCTAATAAAAACTTAACTAATTAATAGAATTCATCTAATTTTTAAATAGTAAAATACTAATTAAATTAGAAGTTCTAACCTAAATAAGAAAAAAAAATCAAAATAAAATAAGATAAATAAAGAGAATCTTGCATGATAGCTTTCAAGTCTTATATAAAAACCTTTTCAATCTTCAATCATCATGGAATTTTAACATGATAAAAAATAAAGCTTTTAGAATCTTCTATAGAAATTTTAGCTTCTTAAAATGATCGGATTAAAAATTATATTTGATTTATCAAATCATGTTTTAAATTTCTTTTAAATTCTTCAAAATCTAAAATTTTTAACTGTTAATAAAATAATAATAATTTATTTTTTTTATTTACCCAATATAAATTCTATTCATAATCTTGTATAAACTTTAAAAGTAATGATTATTTCAAATTTTACTAAGATAAAATTAAAGACATGCTAATATAAATTCTAAAGTCTAGAAATTCAAATTACTCTTCTGTAGCACCATAAAAAGAAAGTTTATATACAAAAAATTTAAAATAATGATAAGCTTTTTACTTTTCCTACCACTTTATAAATTTTTTCTTTAAAATCCTCCTATTATATAATAGAATTTCATCAAATTTTCAAGCAAGTTCCCTTTCTCTTCACAATTTTGTTTGGAATACTTATTAACCGAGCTAAATTTATTATGGTTTGCTCCAGACAGTTTAATTTTTGTTCCTGAGCTAGCACTCTAAAGACCCTTATCTCTTGTACCACGGAGTGAGTTGCTACTGTGTCTGTCCATAAAAAAGATTAACCTGTTCCGATACCAATTAACGTGGTGTATAAAATGGTTAAAAGCTTGAACCTCATATCCTGTGCTGTATCATGCAATTGCCCTGATGATTGGTGTACGGATGTAGGTGTGATCTACAATTTTTATGTTACAAAAAATCGTGTCTAATCTTGTTTCCCTTTAACTTCTCCCTTTCTCTGGACCATTTTGCTGACCACCATTTTAATTTTTACGTGGCTAAGTATCTAGCTCTATATTCATTATGAATACATCTTTTGTTTGAGAAGTACTCCATGATCCACCAAAAGAGAAGAGAGAGTTGTAACCGTGGCCATTTAATTATAGCTTATTTTATTTCAATCTTTCCCTATCAGGCATCCACCCTTTGTTCTCAGTGGGATCCAATTGTGTAGGCAATGGTTTCTTTCTTCTTTTAGTAAAACAATAATCATTTAATTTGTAAGTTAAGAGTATTTAAATGACCATTGAAAATATGTTCACTGATTATTTATCAGATTTTATTGGCTGATCCGCTGCTTGGTGTTTCATCATCTGCTTATAAATTGGCTCCTCATTTCTTTATTGTAGACCCTAAAAAGCCTGAGTTATTTAAGTTTTGACCACAATTCTGGCTTGATTTTGAATTTTATGCCGAGATATAGGATTTCAATATGTCACCCCAGTTTTGGTTTGTGTCACGCAGGTCCATTTATTTATTGTTTAGCTTAGCAAGCTGCTGTTGCAATTAGTTGTATTCTATGCAGGTATAATGGCGATGATTATTTTTTTACGAAAGAACTAATTTAATTTGAAAGTTTAAGTCTATTATTTTATAATATATAACCTTAAGTAAAAAAAATTTAGATTTTAAATTTATACAAGTTAACATTCCCTTATATTTAATTTTATTAAATAATAGAATGGTAAAATTCAAATTTATGACCGCTTACTTATTAAAATTCTAATACTATATTAAAGAATTAATTTAACTCAAAAATTTAAGTTATTAAATAAAATTTTATAATATAATTTATATTATTTTTTAATACTTTTTAACTGCTTATAGTATTGGCCTGGCCAGCAATAGGATCCTCTTTCTATCTCGTTAGGGTACTATTGTAATGGATAGTTAAGGATTTGATGCTAATTTTATGATTCCTTGGTGGAATCAGGATTATCTTGCCGCTTGAGGTCCACCACTCTCTTATTGGAATGTAGTGGGGGTCAGCTGGCAGATTCATGTTGCACACCTTTCTATTAGTGGAAAGAAATCTCACTATGAAAGAATCAGGGTTCGTGGCTTTTGTGTTCACGAGGTAGCTAGTGAGTGCTATGATAATGCTAAATTAATCAGAAGTTAACTAAGCATTCCACTTTGATTAGCTGTATTGGATGTCTTTTTAGGGATGCTACCAGAAGGCGTGAGAGACATTTTTGGATATCTTTTAAGGGATGCTCCCAGAAGGGGCGAGAGAGACATTTTCTGCCTCAAAGACACCTTATTTTTGTGGAGTTGTTGACTCCACCCTCTTTTATAGGTTTATTGGAGAAAAATGTAATCGTAGGTTTTGTCTTATTTTTTATTCTGCAACACCTAACTGGCATTTTTGTGGTTCTTACATCCAGTAGGTGATGGAGAAGAAATACAGGACTTATTAGTGGGGGTGTTTCTTATTACTTTCTGCTTTGCTTTAATAAAGCTGAGCACTCATTATCCAACTATATTCTATATACCATTGCTTTGTTCTGAAGGATAGAACATGCAGTTATATGAATGCTTTTTGTGAAGAGAAGCATAGAAACTAGTAGATATTTGCACCCTGAAATGCTTCTGTTGGCAGAAGTTTATCCCTCCATGATTGTGGTTTGTCAAGAAAATAATGGGAGAGAGTGGTTATATGCATGCTGACGACTACTGATTTGTGGACTAGAAGAGTGAGGAGGAGTTAGGTGGAGATGATATTTTCACCTTAATTAAGCATGACTGTTGAGGATTTTTGAATCTGAACAACTTTTGCATTTATTTATTTATCAATTTACTTGATCACTGGCTGTTCTTGCGTGTATTGTGCCTGCAATTCATCTCCCGTTAAATTTTAAAGCTAGTTGGGACCGAACCACACAGACAGCTTTCTCTCAATAAAATGTGTGGCCTAATCTGCCGGGCTTTGGATTATTCCGGACTATGGACTGCTCCGTCTTTTTGGTCCTATTCTCACCGACTATTTTATCCAATCTTTGTTGGTGGTAGTGCATCCATAGGTTACTGTTTAATTCGATAATTCTCCTCATAGGTCAACTCCAGCAGATCGTTGTCTTATTCCAGAAGCAGTAGGGTCAAGCAGTTAATAATTCAGACAGCACCAGTATGGATTAGCTTTTGGTTGGTTCAAGGGATCCTTTATGCATGTTAGCTTGATCTGTGAAATATAGCTCCGAACTGTGCAGATGATTTATAGTGGTGTATGCAGTAATTTGACCGACACTAATCCCATCGGGTCAATCTAAAATATTCTAATAGCTGTTTCAAGATTTTTTTCTTTTAATATTATTAAAATGTTGTTGTTTTGGATTTTGTTTTAACCAAACCAGTTCATAATGAATTAATAGGATGATGTGAACATAGATGATTAGTTCATGATAGGATATTGAGCTAACTCTTCAAGCTAAAATGAGTTTATTAACCGTGGTTAGTTAAGGGATGACACAGAACTCCATTTCGAAATTTGGAGAAGGTGAGGAATATTTTGGAAAAAAGGAAATAATTTTGGCATACGTGGGTAATACCCAAAGCAGAAGCATTGCCTTCATGCCTGTCCCCTGTGGATGTCGAGCTTAGGTGAAAAGAATGGTTGCGGTGGCCATCTCGAAGTAATTCACAGAATCTGTTCTGTTCAAAGATTTTGTTGTGGCGTCCATTTAAGAAACTAGCAGTTTTTTTTATCTTATTTAAAAGCCAAGCCATTGTCATGACATTAAAAATTTTGACAATAAATTGTTGGTTTTTTACGTTGCTCTTTGGAACTGCTTTGTTTAGTTTTTAAACATTTTTACAATCGATTATTGGCTTTTTACGATTTCAAAAACAAATAATACAAACAAATACTTAAAAATCATTAAATCTTTTTATCTTTTGGATCGATGGCTCTTTGAAAGAGATATGTTAAGCTATAGCGTCTTGTCAAGGAAGGAAAAAATAATAGGAACGCAGGGGGTGGGGATCCTAGTTGTATCAATGGAGGGAGGACGCCAGAATGGTTGTCATTTTCTTTCAACCAGGAAAGTTTATTGATATACTGATGTCGGAAATATATATATATATATATATATATATATATATATATAGTTTTAATATCAATTTATTAAAACGATTTAAAAATATAAAAAAATTAAATTAAAAAAATTAAAATTTTAAAATATAATTAAACTACAAAATTATAAAATTAGTCCTTGGTTTAAAGGATTACCTTTAAATAGGATGGTGGTGCCACCGTTACTGAAAATGACAAACTGGAATCCCTACCCCTCCATGATTTTCTCTTTAATTATTTACTTATTTTTCTTTTCAAAATGGATTCAGAAAATATCTACTACTCCTTTACACAGGACTCCCTGCCTTCACATCTTCTCTGCTCCTGTCGGCAACTAACGGGACGTTGCTCAAAGGAAAGGTCGTGTATGTAGAAATCGACGGATGAACAAATATGGTAAGAAGAGACTATTAGGTGAGTCTAGTTGTCACCCCTCTACGTCAAGAAACAATTAATTATATCTTATTTTACTGTTCTATCACGATGAACATTTTTTTTTGTTGTTGTAAAATTAGAACATGAGAAGGTGTTATTGGCATGCTAGAAAATGTTGCAATAAAGACCATTTTGTTCATTGAAATAAGAATGAATTAAGGAGAAAAGACAGTGATGGACAAAGTGATCTTTTTACCGTTGCATGCAAAAATATGTTAA